TTAGGCCTCCCCAAACTTCCTACTCTCACCTCCTGTTGAGACCCTAGCAACAGTAACCAAGGATGCTACCCAAGCAGCACCGCGGCCAGCGGGAACCCCGCCCCCTTTCCTCTAATTGGTCGTGAAGGGAGAGGAGGCTGAGGGCGGGGCGAACGGGCTGCGCATGCGTGTGGCAGCGGGAGAGACGCTCAGGGACCTGGGTGAGGGTCTGTAATCCCAGGCCTGGCCGGTTCCCAGCAGCTCCCTCCCTGTTCCTAAATTCTCTGTCTGGTCAGTCACTGCCTTTTTTGTTGCAGCTCCGAAGCTGCCCTGAGTTCACTGGGAAATCACTGTGTGACAAAGCTGGTTCTCCACACAAACCACTACCCAGTGGAAGGGCGGCGCTGAGTCCCCGGGGAAAAGTCTACTTCCCGGGAGACGTCTGGAAACGGGGAGCTCTTGGAGACGGGTCCCACCTCCATGCACCAGGAAAATGCAAATTAAAACCAAACCGCAATGTGGCTCATATCCATAGAGGCTGAGAACTTTGTGAGAATACATGCATGCATGCATGCATACATGCCTACACACATACATACATACATGCATACAAACGAATGAAAGAGAGACAGAGACAGAGAGAGACCACCTTTCCAACGTTTTTCCTCAGAAGCCCAAGTTCTGGGTGCATCTCCACCTTTCGTTTGTGTGATTTTTGTTTTTTGTTTTTGTTTTCCCAGAAGACGGAAGGTACTTTGTGATCCACCCGCTGCAATTTGGGGACATTTGTCTCAGAGAAATGAAAACTTCTGTTCACAAGAAAGTATGTTGTTTGCTTAATTGCTAATACATCCTAACTGTGGGCAAGGTGGACAGTTTTGCAAACTTAGAATTCTCTCTTAAAAGGAATGAACCATTGATAATGTGTAACAACCTGAATGAACCCCCTGAATTGAAAACAAGCAGATATGAGTCCCTTTATATAACGTTATTGAAGTGACAAAATTCCAGAGATGGGGCCCTTAGAGGTCATCAGTGAGATAGAGACGGCAAGAGAATAGAACAAACATAAAAAGCCTCCGAGTCAAGTGAGGATGAAGAAGATTGGTGACGCCCTCTGGGCGACTGTCTTGTTATGGAGCTATAGGGTCCTACAAGAGGTTCCTGTTGTGGAAACTGGGGGAAGGGCACACAGTTATCTCCAGTATGTTTACAGTGTACATCTACAATTAGTTCCAAAAATAGCTTTTTAAATGACATTCTTGAGCAAATGAATAAATAGGCCAACCACAGATTGAGAGCTTGATATTTTTCATAACATATAGCTAATAAAGAATATCTAAACACATTTTTAAACCAGTGTAAAATCCAATCATAGACGAGCAAATAACCCAGGCTAGGGACATAGCTCAGCAACAAAGGACCTGTGCAGCATGTGGAAGGTCAAGGGTTCAAGGCCCCAGCATCCTAAGGAAAAGAATAAATCCAATTTTTGGTTCTGGAGAGAAGGTTCAGTGGTTAAGATCTATGCTGCTAACTCCCAGAGACTGGAGTTTGACTCCCAACACCCATGTCTGGTAGCTCACAACCACCTGTAACTCCATCTCCCTGGAATCTGACACCCTCTGTAGGTACCCTCACATACATGCACATACACATAAATAAGTAAATAAATAAATCTTTCAATTTGAAGTTTTAAAAGATACACAAATATCTGAGGAAACACTTCATTCATGAAAAGATTATGTGGCTGGCAAATAAATACATAAAAAGATAGTGGATGTCATTAAACCACAATTGGACACCATTGCATACCTCTTATAAAAGTCAAAATAAGGAATGGATATTGACAGTACTAAGTGTTGGCACAGATCTAAAGTATCTAGAACGTTCAAGTTCAGTAGTAAGACAAGATGTACACATCATTTTCAAGAGCAGACTTAGAGTTTCTAATAAAGTTAAGCATACCCATGTCACATGGTCCAAAACAAAAGCACAAAGCTCTAGGCAGGAATGTTCGTGACAACTTCATTAGCAATTGCCAAAAACTGGAAACAAAATCTTTGGACCAACAGATAAACTGCCAGTTCCATCCAAACAGTAAAAGGGTGGACTGTAGGTGCCTACAGCATGACAAAATCTCAAATTTATTATGCCTAGGGAAAGATGCCAGATCGCTAGTTGCATGCAATCTAATTTCATTTATCTGATATCCTAGATAAAGGAAAACTATGAGGATACAAAACAGACTTCCAAAAGCTAGAATAGGAAAGGGAATTGACTGCAAAGGATCATGGGTGGGCTTGAGGTGCAGTGATAGAATACACCTTTGAGTGTGTCTATGAGGGGGTTCTGGGAGGTTTAGCCGAAGATTTCTTTGAATGCAAACAGCACAATCTGTTGGACGGTGATCACATTCTGGACTGAAAGGGAATGAAGAAGAAAGCTAGATCAAAGCTAACACACACCTTTGTCTTCTTCTGGATCTTCTGAGATGTGAGCAGTCAGCCTCACCTCTTCTGCCGCCTTAGCCAGGAGTTATTCCCATAGCTGGACTCAAACTATGCACCAAAATGAAATGTTCTGCAAGATGCTTCTTGCCAAGTATTTGGTCACAGCAACAAGAAAAGCAATGAATAAAGCCTCTGGTGTATATGAATGTGTGTGTGTGTGTGTGTGTGTGTGTGTGTGTTTGTATGTATGTGTGTGTGTACAATCATGTGAAAACCATGGCTATCATTCCTCAGGTACCAATCACCTTGGTTATTGAGACAGGGTCTCTCACCAGCCTAGAACTTAACATGTAGCCGAGGCTGGCTGGCTCCTACACACCTCTACCTTGCCCAGTCTGGGATTATATGCACATACCACCACCCCAAACATTTTTTTCCTGTGGGTTCTGGGGCTAGAACTTAGGACCACGTCCACATGAAGCAACCACTTTACCAACTAAACTATGTCCCCAACCCTGTGAATATAGCCTTCTACAGAGCCAGTTAAGTGCTTATAGGGCATCCTGAGATGGCAAGCTCTGTACCTCCTGGGGCTTACATATGATGCACATACTTTAAGTAGACAGATAAAGACAATGGGTGTTGTGCTGGAACCCAGAAACTAGAGCATCTAACTAAAAGCATTCACAGTCCAAATGGTTAATACACAATGTTGCCTGAAGACATCCTACGCATGGCCAGTAGTTCAAACCTGTTCCCGTTTATGGGGTAAGTGGCTCCCAGGCGGTGCCTCCGGGACGCTTTTCTTTAATCCCCAGCAGATGGTTGTAATGGGTACACATTGAACTTTGTGATTAAATCTCCAAGCTTCCTTGTCTTTCCCCCAACTGGATTTCTACTCAGTATTCTTATTTGTACCTTGCCTTATTTAGATATAATCGAGATGCTTTTTAATTGTTAAAAGTCCCTTGAGCTCTGCAGTTGTCCAAGTTACAGATGGCTATACCAAGCCAATAAACTGGGGCTTCTCTGCCCCCAAATGTGTAAGAATTAAGCTAAGCCTGCAGCAAATTAGTCCGTGGGCAAGTTGGTTAGGCTCCATCTGCCTGTTGGTCTTGTTTTGTTTTTTTAGAAAAAGTTGCATCTCTAGGGCTAGTTTCAAGTACCTCTTGGAGCTGTTGGTACTCCAATCATAAAATGCATCATTTTGTTTTACGTGTCTCAATAGGGACTAGTTTAAAAAATGTAGGCTAGTAATTTTGACTTAGAATAAGTACATATAGTTACCAAACTGCAGTAAACTTTCTTCTCTTTTATTTTTTATTTTATGGCTTGAGAATTTCATACAGGCATATACTGTATTTTGATCAAATCTACCCCTACTTTCTCCCCTCCAATTCTTCCCATACCCCTCTCCTCTTTTCCCTCCAAGTTCCATGTGATCTTTTTGTTTGTTTTTAAACCCACTGGGTTCTCTTAGTGGGTCCAGCATGTGCATGTCTGTAGGAACATCCAGTGGAGCTTGGGGCAACCTGTCAGGGGCCAAGTCCCAAAGGAAGCTGACCAATGGTCCTGTCTCCGGCAGCTGTCAGTTGTCATTAGTTCCCCTGATCACCGAGGGCCTTCTTAAGCCCCTCCCCACTGCATGTTGGAATTTGGCTGGCTTGATCTTGTGGAGGAGTGACACAACACAGTATTTTCAGGGCATGGCAGGGTCATTGTACACATGAATTCACAGATGCTATGACTCTTCCCTTGTCTGGAACTCAGTCTCTTTATGACCGCCAGAATGTGCACTCTGTATCAGGTGGGCAGCGTGCTAAGACCCATAGTGATGATTTCACCCACCCTTCCCAGGACTCCTATTCATGTCCTCCACAAAGCAAGTTTGCTAATGGGAATCCCCTCTTTATTAGTAGACAACAGTATTAATAACACAGCAGTCATTTGATGAGGACTGCCTTGCTAGCAGTGATTGTCCATAGGATAATGGCACTGCGTACCCAGTCCACGGGTGTGGGTGAGTGAAAGGAGTGGAAAGATGCAGACATCTCAGCAGATCAGTGGAGGACACTTTCATCAGGAATCCCCTCAAAGCTCAGCTTCACCCAGCTATCTTGTGGGTGGTCAGGAACAGAGGGACCCCTGGCATCCCGCTGTCTCAGCAGGACATTCGCCCATTATTTCCGAGCGAATGGAGAATACACACAGCAATTTCTGGTACTCATTAAATGCTGAATAATAAACATGCTTTGATACTTCTGAGCAGCGGCACCACAAAATCTGTAATATATAATTTCAGCAAAGACATTTCTTTTGAGAATATGTTTGGCTAATTTAAAGCATGATTTCATTAGCATAACCATATTTCCAAACACAGCAGAGTGGAATCCATAAGACTTCACCCACACTCTGGATTTATGGGGTGCTGTGGGAATCTTGGTGTAGGGACATGTGTACTGACTTCCTTTGCCTATTGGCTGTGCCTTGAGATCTTCCCAGCCACATGAGATTCTCCCCCCTGCTGCTCCATCACCACTCTGGCTGAGACAGAGGCCCTCTTCTCTCAGTGTGTCTGATCCTCTTCCTGCATGCCTCTTGGGGCTCCCCTGAGCGGCAACATCAAAGTCAGCATAGAGCTGGAAGCTGGTGGCCAGCCATATGGAATTACAGCCCAGGCTGTCACCGGATTACAGAGTGTAGCACTCGAACCAAATGACAGTGCCATGGCACAGAGGAAAGCCTCCAGTTTTGAATGGAAAATGTGACTGTGTGTGTGTTTATACCCAGGCTTCTCATAAACACTCCAGCTTCTCCACCAGCAACCCATCACAGCAAGGGATGGGCTGAGTTGAAAATAACTCCAGGACTCCTTTCTTCTAAGAAAATGACCCACACTGGCCTACCTCCTCCTGGCTTTTATGTGCATGCTCCTCTGAGTAGCTCACTTAGGGTGGAAATTGAAACATAAAAGAAAATGGTATCTAGTGGAGATTACCTAACATTTCATTATGGGCACCAAATCCAGCCAGTTTTAGCAAGCCAAACTGTCGTCACTGGAGTTTATGAAATACTGACTTTCCGGGAAGACACTGGACAGTTTCATATTGTCTGCCTTCTGGTAGGGGAAGTCATATTTTAAAATGGTAGCTTTCACTTACTGGCTCTTTCTTCTTCAAATGCCTTTCTCTACCATACAACAAATCAAAGGACTAGGGATCAGTCTTCCAGCACCCATGCTGAGGGCACTTCATATGACTTATTTTTAGTGGTATTTGTACATTTCTTTTTCAAGTATGCATGCATTATTGTGAGGTGTGCGTGCGTGCGTGCGTGTGTGTGTGTGTGTGTGTGTGTGTGTGTGTGTGTGTG